CCCCATAGAGAATATGTGGGGTATTGTGAAGAAGAAGCTGAAAGACACCAGACCCAACAATGCTAATGAGTTAAAGGCCGCTATTGAAGCATCCTGGGCATCCATAACACCTCAGCAATGCCACAGGCTGATTGCCTCCATGCCACGCCGCATTGATGCAGTAATCCGTGCAAAAGGATTCCCAACCAAGTACTGAGTGCATTAATGGACATTTTCAAATGTTTGATTGTGTTTTGCTGTTATAAATCTTTTTTTTTTACTTGGTCTGAGGAACTATTCTAATTTTTTGAGATAGGATTTTTGAGTTTTCTTAAGCTGTATGCCATAATCAGCAATATTAAAATAATAAAAGGCTTGCAATATTTCAGTTGATTTGTAATGAATCCAGAATGTATGACATTTTTGTTTTTTTAATTGCATTACAGAAAATAAAGAACTTTATCACAATATTCTAATTTTCTGAGACAGTCCTGTATTCTGAATGGATGACTGCCAACAACTTGCATTTCAATGACAACTCTAAATAACGATCCTACCTCAAGAAGCATGTCCTTGATCTGCTTCACCAAGATTCATTTTTAATAAAAAGCGATATCACAATAGTAACCAAAGTATTTTTACTCTCACAGTAGCCTCTACTACTTTGTATCCTCTCACAGAACTATTCACAATTCAAAGGCTGCTAATTTTGGTCAAACAGTTTTTGCTTTTCATGTCGAGATATGTCGGCATATTAAAAATGTTAAGAATGTGTGACATACCAAATCGAGCTGGCCCAGGGTAACCTTTATTAATCTGAGATAATAAGGAAGTGCACAAACATCTCTCGTTATTAAAAGAGACATTTGAAAAAACCTCTCTGGTGTCAAACTTCGCATACATACAAGTCAGTGATGTCAGTGTCGGACAATTTCAGATTTATAATCCAACCATCTATTTCAGAGGGTGACCCCATGCCCGGGCTTCTTGAGTTGAATCCTTGGCCAGTCAGTTTACCTATGTTTCATTTTACCAAAGTGCTCATGGTCAGAACTTTATTCACGTACAGATGCTAAAACATTACTATTCCAGGCGCAGCTTAAAACCTTCTAACCTTTCATTCTTCTGATGCCAGACATGGCTGTCATCCTACTCCTGTTTTTATACTGATACACCATCTCAATTATAACACAAACATATCCGTAAAGGTGATGTGAGGCTTAACCTTTATATGGCTGCAGTACAACATTGAAACATAAGCCCTTATCAATCAGCATGCTACATGATAGCAGATTTGAACTGTTCTGACATTTAATTTATCTCATTATCAGAGGGATGTATCTTCATGCAAAACTACAGAACATTTAATAAAGGTATTATTTCGTAGCAGACTTACTAGCATTTACATTTTAATAGTTTAAACTGTGTATTTTAAAGAAATGTTGTAGTACTGTATTATGGCTATGTCAAGGGAATTGAAAGGATAAGTGAGGCCTTGATAAAAAGTGTACAAAACAGTTGCTATGTAAACATAAGCATAGGGCAGACCTGAATTGACTATTATTTGAATAGCTGTCGTTGAATTTAATTTTTTCATAAGTATATATAAAGTCCATTAAAAGGGTAAACATTTTTCAAAGGCATCCCGCTCCCCATGTTGTGCCTGTGATGGTCAATCAATCAGACAAACAATACCATTAATTCAACCCTTGTCTGATGAAGTAATAGTGACAAAAGAAACATTTTGAATGTACTCACATGCCAGGAAGCAGTCCATACTGAAAGAGATGTTGTCAATAGACACGGCTGAACCCGATCCAGGTCCATCTTCTGTGCTGAATTGCAGCCAAAACCTACAGAAGGACAGAGCGGTTTATACTTCCTCACAAGCTTTGAGATTATGGAAAGCTTCAAACGTAAAGGATGTGAAGAACAATGAAAGTTCTTTAGGAAAATGTCTTTGTGCTTTGGCTTTGGAGGGTATGCATTGTATGCCTTATGACAGCTCACTGTATATTCAGCCGAGACAGAGGAAATTGAGTCCTATTGGGATGGAACTCTTTTTATGTTGGAAAATGAAATGCTTTCATGCATAGAATTATGTAGACAGGCATGACATCACTTATGCTGCCTAAACCTTTAAAGAAATCTTTTAAAATGTCGGTTTTTGGGTTCTTCTTGCTGGTCCTCTTTGATAAGATGATTGATATCATTCTCAAGTCCTCAAGGTAAATATGTAGCCAGCTGTTGGTTAGCTTAGCATATACCCTGAAACCCCTCTAAAGCTCACTCATTAATTGTATTTAATTAGCTACACAAAAAACGAAAGGGAAAAAACACAGTTGCCGCCTTTCTCTTGTCTTAGTGCTAAGCTAAGCTAACTTGCTTCTGAATCCAGCATCATATTTAGCGTACAGACATGAGAATAGTGTCAATCTTCTCATCTACCTCTCAGACCATAACGAGAATAAACATATTCCTTTAAATTATAAAGTACTTTATCTGTTATGTTGCTTGAATGTGATGGTATGCTGCAGTATACACCCATTCTTACTGTCAAACCAAAGCAGTCTGTCGTGTCCTGACTTTTATCTGCACTTCAGGCTGTATTTCTGATTCTATTTAAGCTCTACAAAGGTCAGTGCGCAAAGATTGGCAGGTTCACCTCGTGGATACGGACATGACATTCTAATTAAGAGCCCAGGCACAGCTGACTACATAACCCAGAGATAAAAAAAAAGGTATCACTCTCAGGGGAGCAGGATTATCCAAGCTCCAATAGCAAAGAAACCAACAGTGAGGCACACAGAGATGAAATGCCTTATTTGGGGTTTCTCTTTCTCCTAGCTTAACTTATTTGGTTTTAATTTCCCCTTTTTTTGAGGGGAAATCAGGGCCATCTCTAATTGGAAGGCAAGTAGTGTGTGTAGAGCCTATTGTATTGATTTGGACTCCCTGAATCACAGACAAGTTGAATAAAAAAGAGGGCTGCATTTTGTTCAGTCCCTATGGGATTCCTTAATTCTGCTGAGGTGAGAGGCAATGTTCCAGGAAAATGGAATGTAAATGTTGGAATCTGCATTTAGGAGAGGCGATAAGAAGAAGAATAGCTACTTGGTTCTGTTTCTTAAGGATTTCTTGTGGGAGCTCTTAATTAGTTGTGTGAGGAGGTCTGTTGGAGTGAGAGCTAAACCACTCGTTGGCTCTTAAACACCTTATAGTGGTGCTTTAAAGCATTCGGACAGTCGTGCTGGATATAATGCTGTTGAAACAGGTCGTACCAGTCTGCCAGCCCGTAAAGGGGCAGTATGATGAGTTTCCAGCCCTTCTCAGATTTGGGCTCGCTGGCTGAACGCCACAGTCTGCGCTGCTCTTCAGGGCCTGTACTGTTTTCAGCGATCCACAGCGACAGCGACCCCCTCTGTGAGCCCCCAGAACACAGCCAGAATCTCATCTGTGGAAGCAAGGCAGAATTTCAAATGAGCAATGCAGTTACATTTATGAATGAAATATGTAGTCAAGGTAATCATAAATCCAGAGTGTTGATTTTTAAAAGGTACACTCTGAGAAGTAAAGACAGCACATTCAACAACCCTAACTGCATTTAAAAATGTTTTACACAAGTGCATTATGTGAGCTCAATCAGAAAAAGCCATCTGTTATTTTCTAATTATTCCAAGATTAATAAAATTCAACCAGGATCATGATTTGGTATCATTTTGCTGTCTATGCTGCTCCTGCATGCTTAAGCACAAATACATCTCATTTTTTTTTATTCCAGGAGGGATACGGAAAGCGTAAAGCAGATTCAAGTTAGACAACACACACAGGGCTCAATAAAATAGTAAAAGGAAGTCTGAATCTAAAGCTCGCTAACAAGCATGGGATGTGGCCATGTCCCTGCGCAGCATTTCGGCGGCGTCAAGAACATAAATCTTGCAGGTTGTCGTTTCCCTTATCGTCAACCGTTGGACCACATGGTGACCGTTTAAACGACAAGATTACAGGAACTGCACAGAGCACACCGGGCGCCAGATGAAAGAGAAGATGGTCTGTAGCTAATACCCAACACTGATATCCTCTACGTAGTTGTCCAAAAGCAGACAGGCTAGATTTAACAGCAGCGGTTCAGTGTAGAGAAAAGGATTTAGAGTGTTAATCTGGAATCATGGCTAATCTTTGGCTTTGCACCAGGAAGCTGCGATGGTGTACCACTGCCTCCACACATATCAGGCAGCTTTAATTCACAGAAGGAAGGGGTACATTTCTACTCCTACATTTGCATTATTTTCTACTTCTGTTTTATGCCTCTCTGTCATCCCTGCAGCCAGTGTGTTTCCCTTCTCGAGACTAACTTTATTTACCCTCAGTCTCTATTATTATCTTCATTTCTGACCTCTAGACCTTCCTGTTTCCTGTGCAGTTCCTTCCCTTCTGTGTCTGCTTCTGTCTCCCCATTTGCTCTCTACATCAACTTGGAATGTGCAAAGTACACATGCAGAAGGCCAAAGGTTGCTTTGCAATGTTAAAATGAATAACATATATTTAAATGAAAGATAGAGCAGCATCAATTTAATATGTCAAGAACAGAACCACCCTCAGAGACCTGCCCCGGGAGCTACATGATGTGAATTATGCATGATTTGTAATATTTTTTACAGCGAGGTCAGCAGATACAAATGTGTGATTGACGAGGTCAACCTCTGTCTCTCCGGAAATGCAGATGGTACAGTGTAACCCTGCTGTCGGAACACATTACTGTTTGAGCTGTTACTGAAGGCAATGAACATATCACACTATTCAGAGATTCATTATATGTTCTACTCCTACAGAAACAGAGAACCAGGGATGCAAACTCATCAGGTATAAAAAAGATGACAAGGATTTTCCAAAGATCCCAATAACCCTCTGATCATTTATCCAATTTATATCCAATTTATTCTTAGTTTTTTGTCCTTTCATCATGTCAAATGCTGAATTTAGCAGCTTACACTTTTGGATTTTGGTTGTAGTTCCTCGTAATCTGATTGATAGCTGCAGGTGATTTACCTATGATAATACGTTATGGTTCAAGTGACTGTTCATTTTCATGTGGAAGTTATAATGACTTAAACTTTGTAGTAATTGGCAGAAAAATAGTATTTGAATGATCTGCATTCTTTTTGCCATGTTTTGTACATTTGATTCAAATTGCTGTTTCCCCCCCCTCTAGTTCTTCCGTAGCCCTGCTGAAAAGACAGACAAACAGAGAGACAGACCAAAATAAAAGTATTGAGCTTTCTGGTAGTGGTCAAAATGACTGTTCTGGACTGTAGCATTGACTGTGTGGAATCCAGGTTGCTAATAATCAGAGGGAAAAATATGGCACGTTATCATTTAAAAATATGCATGTGTACAGCGTGAGTAAAGATAGCTTGACACACTTAGCAACAGTTACTAGGTGGGGGGTGGGGGTCTTTGTATGTAATGAAGATTCAGTCTACTCTGTACTATGCTCACCGTGCATCGAGAGTTTCTGAGAGGAGGGGGGAAGAGAGGGCTCCTCAGTACTGCTGAGCTGCGCTGGCCTTTGGACTGGCCTCCTTCCACACTGAATGCAGCACCTTTAATACACACATTAAACACGCAGAAGAAGAAACACTGCGTCAGAATAAACAATAGTAGCCTATATATAAAACATCCATATATAAAAAAGCATTGATTATCTGTGTATATGGGTAGGAAATGAAGAATGAATATATTTTGTGGAATTTGTTTTGAATGAGTACATTTCATAAAGTTAAATTATACCAATGTATACCAATATTGGCCGATGATGGGGTCCCTTGATCACAGTTTTCTGAGATGTGTCGGGGCCTTGGTCACACTAATTTCCTGATCTTTGTGTGTATCATAATGTATGTATGTTTGTAGTCATGACACATAGATGCTTTATATATATATATACATATATATATTTATTAATGCTGTCAAAATGAGCGCGTTAATGGCGGTAATGAATTTTTTGAATTCATTGCGTTAAAATATTTAACGCATTTAACGCATGCGCAGAATGGCCTGCCCCATACATCCCACCAGTGGCGGCGCCAGGGTATGGGGGTTATGGCTAGAAAGGATCCGTCTAGTGTAAAACTCTCGCGAGAGTTTGCAATAATGCTGAATGTTTACGTTTGGCAGGCAGCCTTTCAGTTACGATCGTTAACATCAGTGAGCCACAGCAAATGATGGTAAGAAGCTAAACTATCTATTAATTATGTCAATGACAGGGAGTGTGATTGTTGAAATAGGGTGTTAGCGGTCTTGCTGGTGTTCAAAGAAGAATGACAACACTGTAGATCACCAACACTATGGTTTATTTTTTATTCACAGGCGTTGTCACAACGTTGTCGCAGTAAAAGTCCGAAGATAGCTCCTGGTGCAATAAAATGTTCCCTTTCAGTATTTTACTATTATGTCTGATGTTTCTCTATTAATATTGCTGCTGCATTAATGTTTATGTTGCAACATGTTACTGCTGCAGATGTATTTCCGAGCCGCTCCGATTACAACGAGAGTTACAACGAGAACGTGATGTCATATTTACACAAGACGGATCCTTTCAAGCCATAACCCGGGAACTCTGACGTCGCCATTTTGTGTGCTTCGCGGATGCGCTCGGCTCTTCTCGACTGCTGCTCGGGTCTGCTCGGTCAGCTTCCGGATGAGGAGGCATTCGTTCGACCAACTTACAGTAGATAACATTAAAACCTTTTTAACAGGGGCCATAATAGTGTAAATAATGTTTGTTTTGGCAGTTATAACTGAATGTAAAGTGTTCTACTTTTTTACATCTGGGAAGGCATTTGCCTTCATCAGATGGAAAGTGTCTTGACCAACAACTTAAGTATGTCTTATAGCTATGCAGGGCATGCAAGCGAGCAAACACAAACAAACAAGTGAAATGAAGAATACAATTTAAATTGTACAATATAATATTGTGGTGGTTCATCTTATAATTCAGTCTAGAGAATGCAACAGACGGCATCTACAGTAAGACCTGCACAACTCTAAATGTTCTAGGGGGAGGCCCCCCAAACCTTCGTGCCATTTCGTCCGCGCGCATTTTTCAGGGCTATCTCTATTGGGCTAAGGGCCATCTGTAAATTAGCTTAGATGGCCCTCCCAAAATCCTTAATGTCATGCACTGTCCTATCCCTACTGTACATGAGCTTGCCACAGAGGTTTCTGTATACAGCCCATGGGGTTTAGCCACACACAGCCCAAACACATGTGTATGAAATTATATTTTAGTCTTTCAAACCAGTCTGGTATTTGGCTTTTACTTCAACAGGCATTATAAAGTACCACCACAATTGAGAGAGAGAGAGAGAGATAAACAAC